GGCCCAGAATCCCTAAATCAAAAGTACAAGGAGAAAGTATCACTTAGATGAGGTCGGGGAAAGGACAAAAAACAGCATAAATCTCTGCTGTGGCACTAATAATTTCTAATAAAAATGCTATAAATAAACTGGAAAACTACAATAACAATTATAGTAAAAAATACTTACTGTCTACCCAGAACCGATACTCTCCTAAAAACAATCATAATTTTGTCAAGACAACAATATTTCTCTCACATAGCCCATGTACCTCATCACTACCAATGTAATGACTGGTTCAGGAACAGACATGGGATCTAATTCTGGCCATCTGAGATCAGAGGGGAAAGATTTTCTGGGTGTTCCTATGAGAAATCTTCCTCCTCCTGAGAGGACTATGGAAAGCCTAAGGAAGCATGTTGCTCAAGTGTGATCCTACAACTTTAGGAGAAACAATGTTAAAAAAAAGTTTACACTTTAGGAGTAATGACACTCAAAGAACCTGAACATTTCATAACACTTGCTGAGCCACTACGCTAAGAGGCTCTTGGTAGGTTAGCTAACAGAACTTTCCTATTTTTAAACCAATTTTCACTGTGTTTTCAGTTACTTTCAACCAATTGGTCCCTATCAACACTCCATTTATACGTGTAATCAACAACCTTTATAAATTACTATACTATGTCATTTTTAATGTTTCTTTTTATTCTAGCCTCTAAAGTCAACACTTGCACTGTCAGAAATGTGACCAGTTTCTGTTGCAGAAACATAAATCCAAGAAATATAGTACAGTGCTGGTATGGTGGCACATGGTTGTAATGTCAGCACTCAGGAGCTGAGGTAGGAGAATTGCTGCAAGTTCAAGACTACCCTAGGCCTCATAGTGAGTTGAAGGCCAGCCTGAACTGCACAGTGAAACCCGTCTCAAAAAAAAAGAAAAGAAATATAGTACAAATGTTCACAAAATTCCTTTCAAGCTCATTTTAAAGACAATTTAAACATAACAAATAGTCCTGATATTTATAACAGACCTATTATAATTTTTAAAGCATGATTATTTAAAGAAATACTAAGGCTAAGATGATTTGTTTAAATTTCCAATGAAAACTCAATTTCCCAAAATGTTTACCTCTATTTAAAGACATAAGCTTTCAAACTGGTGAACAATCATGGTATGGGGCCGGGGAGGGATGGAAGCTCCATAAGCGCCACTACCACACCTTCCCCATGCAGAACAGTGCTTCTCTTTAACTTGGCTATTCTCGATTCCTGCACTGTCCCTTTAAAATAAAGTGGTAATAATGACCCCAAACTTATACAACAAAAATTTTCTTCTATTTGTAAAGAAGTATTTGAAGCTATACAATAAAAATGTTTGCTTTCTGTCTAATGAAAGCCAAGGACTATCTAATGCACAGGATCTACAGATAAAGAAGCAACTCATTTAATGTATCAAATTCTGTCTCTAATATGCTAGAGTAGATTCATATACAACTGTTCACATTTCGGAGGCTGGTAAATGGTCAACCTTAGAGCAGAATAAACAGAAATGGAGAGAAACTATTAAGCAAAGTGAAAGTCCTTCAGTGAAAAGAAAGTAAACTAAAAATTTTATTTCCTTGTAATATTTTCTAGATTTTGCAAAATAAAAAAATTGAGACTCAAATACAATTTAAGCCACATGCAGAGAATTTCAGAAAGAAAAAACCTGCCAGGTGTGGTGATCCAGGCACATGCCTGTGATCCCAGCACTCAGTGGGCTGAGGCAGGAAGACTGCAGGGAGTTCAAGACCAGCCTAGGCTACAACAGTGAGTTCAGGGCCAGCCTGAACTATGTAGTGAGACTCCATCTTTTAAAAAAAGAAAAATAAAATAAAATTTTGTTTCAAATTTAAAAATAGAAAACCTGACTTTTCAAGTCATTTTTAAATTTTTGTTTGTTTGTTTTTTGAGGCAGGATCTTACTAAGTAGTTGAGACTGACCTGGAACTCACTATGTAGCCCAGGCTGGTCTCGAACTCACAGCAATCCTCCTGCCTCAGCCTCCCAAGTGCTGGGATTACAGGCATGCGCCACCACACCCAGCAAGTTATTTTTAAAGTTAACATAGCTTTATCAGAAAATTCTTAGTGAGCACTAGTTTTTTTAAAATCTAAATGATTTCCATTGTCTGTGAAAAAAGTAATATTCTCTCACAAAAATCATCTGTATATGTGAGAAATGAAATGTAACTTAGAAACACTGCTCTAAATACTATTAAGGCTAAGGCAAAAATTCCTTCGTCATTTCTAAGTATAAGTTATATTACATCATTTCCTTTTAACTCCATTTTTTTCAATTAGGATGAGGTAGTATTTTTTAGTATCATACACTATTATAAATATTTCTTCCTAATTCTAAGTAACTATTTAAGCAATAGGAACGCACTTGCTAGGCACTCTGGTTAGTATCTGCTTTAAGTTATTTTAATTCTTAGTAAAAGCATTAAATCTTAAAATTCAAATGATTACTCATTTATGATATAAGCAATTTAGGGCTGGGGATGCAGCACAGTGGTAGGGTGTTTGCCAGCATGCAATAAGGTCAGGAATCAATCCCTGGCACAGCAGGGGGAAAAAAAAAAAAGAAATGCTAGGACAACCTAAGTATTTTATTTATGGCTTCACATCTTAAATGTTTTTTTCTTCCCCTTTTAGTTAAGATGCTAACTAAAAAGACATTTCAAAGTATGCAATAACCAACAAAATATTAGGTGATCACAACAATCTGAAAAACAGAATACTAACCTTGAGCAACAGAGTAGTCAACAACTAAGTGACTTCTGGTGTAAGGAAATAAAGTATTGCATTGTGTTTTTCATTACACATCTCTGTAAATATTCTTGATGTTCAAATTAAATAGCTACCACTGAAAACCTGATTCAAGAATAGTTAGAAAGCTAATTTTCCATTCAGTCCTATAGCTCAACAATTCTTTGAAAACAACTTAACTCTAAACAGAAATAAGGGGGATAGATGGTTGATCTGATTTCAAAACTTTATGAAAAGTTAACTTTGTAAGAATTTCCTTTAATATTAAGGAACTTCTTGCATTTATCAGACAAGGATAAACTTGGATTTCAGTTTGATCAAATGAGTGCCGCTAAAATAGAGCTACCTTTGTTGTTGCTACTATTGTATCTGTGGTACTCAGGACTGAATTCAGGGCTTTTGTACTGAGCAAAATTCCCATCTAAACTGCCCAGGCTGGGGTGGAAGTTGCAATCCTAGCCTACCAGAGTACTGGGATTACAGGTGCGTACCACACCTGGCCTTTGCAGTTATGTATATTCATTCACTCACGTTAAAGAAGTCTCTCCCAGATCCTCTGAGCTTGATGCAAAGCTGTCATTCAGTTTTCTTTCTTTACCATTACCCTAGGAAATCCTTTCTTCTCTCACCTCCAGTGAATCTCCTGCTTCCTCCCTATATCCCATACAGTACTTCCTCATCTTAACTTACTCCTTCTGTCATATAGCAGAAGTAGGACAATCTACTCATCCCAGTCTGACTGCTTTTATCACCAGAAGTTCCATAACTCAGGAAAACTCCTTAGTCCCAGGTAAACCAAGCTGATCGGTTAACCCTATTTAGAGAGATGGCAGAAAAATATTTTTGGAAGATTTGCATGTCTAAAAATATCCTTATTCCACCTTCATACTTGACTGCGAATTTGACTAGGTACAGAATTTGGGTTTGAAAATCACGTTCCTTCAATACATTATTTTAGCTTCTTTCTAGCGTTGTTGCTAAGAAAAACAAAGGCTTTTCTGGTTCCTGACCGTTGTTTTGTTTCACTTTATTTTGTCAGTATCTTCCTTATCCCCAAAGTTCTGAAAATTCTTCAACATACTGACTGTGAATTTTAGCATCAGTCAACTTTCATCCATTACGCTAGGTATCTAATATCTGCACCTTTCATTTAAAAACTTGTGTCCTTCAGTTTCTGAATGTTTCTCTACTATTATTTTATTGACAATTTCTTCCCCTCTGTTCTCTCTACTGGAATTCTCTTTAGAATTTCTACTATTCTGATTACTCAAATGCATCTTCTAGTTTAATTGCTCTCTAGTTTCATCCTCCCAAATTATTGTATAGTTTTATCTCTTTTCTATCTCTGCATTTTTTTGTCTGTGAAATTTTTTTCAGCTTTCTCTTAAAATTCTTATATGAAAGTTTTCATTTTAGCAATCAAATTCTTAATTTCAAAGAACTTTTTTCATTCTTTCGTCCCTTTTTATGGCATCTTGATTTTATTCACAGGTGTAATATTTTACCTCTAAAACTATGAAAATTATAATTATAAAAAAATGAAAAGATCTGAAGCTCTGAATCCTTGGGTGAAGCCCATTGATAATGAATTTCACAGTAGTGTGACTGGCTTACTGAGGAATCCCTGATATCTGGATCTTTAGGTCTTCCTTCCTGAGTTGGTCAGATTTTTCAGAAGGCTCTTTTAAGAAATCTCTCTTTGTAACAAAGACCTAGTTGCCAGCATTCTAGAAGCCAAAAAGAAGTAAATAAACATTTCTCTACTCCCCTAATTCCAATATAAAATGTCTAAACCTACACTATATCTGATGTCATTCAACCCGGAACACTATTTTATCAAGAATAAAGATACAATCTTTGAGAAGGACAGACAAAAGGCAGGGCTCTAAGTTCTTACTGCTTCTAAAATAGTTTCAACTAATCCTCCATACTTTAGCTCTGCCTGAACCTCAACTTACAGAAGTTCCTGAAGACACCAATTTCTAAGACGTCTGAGGATTCTGCCAAGTAAACTGGATAGGTCCTCAACATTCACCACTGTTAACTTAGGATTTCAAAGTTTCTCAGATCTCCTAAGTCATTATCATTAATTTGCTTTTCAGCTTCCAAAATATCAGTGCTGTAAGTCTCCTCTCTTATCCTTCTCATCCTTGAATGTTTATGACTTTTTCAAAAATTTCTTGCTGCCCACCCTGCCGGGGAAGGCGGAAGATGCCAGTAAAGAAGAAGAGAAAAGACTCCTCCAGGGTGGCAGCAGCAGTAGTGGAAGACAGTGGCCTAAAAAAGTGTAAAATCTCCAGCTATTGCAGATCCTCCCTCCCTGCTAGACTAATAAGTGGAGAGGAACATTTTTCAAGCAAGAAGTGCCTGGCTTGGTTTTATGAGTATGCAGGTCCTGATGAAGTTATAGGGCCAGAAGGAATGGAAAAATTTTGTGAGACATTGGTATTGAACCTGAAAATATTATGTCAGTTTTAGTGTGGAAATTGGAGGCTGAAAGCATGGGATTTTTTACCAAGGAAGAATGGTTAAAGGGAATGACTTCATTACAGTGTGACTGCACAGAAAAGTTACAAAACAAATTTGACTTTTTGTGCTCACAGCTGAATGATATTTTGTCATTTAAGGATATATACAGATATGCATTTGATTTTGCAAGGGATAAAGATCAGAGGAGCCTTGATATTGATTCTGCTATATCTATGTTAGCTCTTCTGCTTGAGAGGATATGGCCACTGTTTTCAGTATTTTACCAGTACCTGGAACAATCAAAGTACTGTGTTATGAACAAAGATCAGTGGTACAATGTATTAGAATTCAGCAGAACAGTCCATGCAGATTTTAGTAACTACGATGAAGATGTTGCTTGGCTCGTTCTTCTTGATGAATTTGTTGAGTGGCAAAAAATACATCAAACATGATAGCAAGAACTATTTTGAAGAAAATGCAAACTTTTTGATTCCCATACGTTATACAGGCTAATGAGTTAAAGGGGAAAAAAAATCCAAAGGGTGCATTTTCATTCATATGAAAGACTTATAGTACTTTTTTTTTTTACTTCTTTTTAAAGAAAGTTTTCTTGTTACATGTGATGGGCATTGAACCACACCTCTTCTGAGACTGAATATTGACATTTTTGTTTCAAGTTATGTTTTTAACATTTCAGAACAATAAAGATTCAGATTTGTGACAAAGGCCTTAAAGTGAAAAAAAAATTTCGTTATCATAGGCTTGGTGGGGCTGCAGAAGGCAATAAAATTATATTCATATGTTCAATCCATCACCAAACCCTAAAGTTTATGCTGGACACTGTGCAAATAAAGTTAAACACAGACAATATAAAAAAAATTATAACTAAAATTTAGAGGTTCACAATTTGCCTTATTCCTTACCCTCTCCTCACTCCATTAAGTACTTGTTTACACACTGTCAACTGCTAACAAGGGGGACTGTAAATACCACTGAAAAAGCAACTTTTGAATTATTTGCCAATTAGAAAGCTAATTTTTTAAAAGGAAAAAAATCACTTTTGAAACAGGGTAAATCAAAAAGGAAACAAGTCCCCAGCATAAAAATACTGAGTTTAAACCAATGCTTCATGATCACTTATGCTGCTTCTAGCCTTGGGTGTAACAAGTACAATATAATGGTATTAATTCATTCAACCAACATTATTATGTATCTGCAATATACCTTGCACTTACCAGGACAAGCACAGGGGTAGGGGAAGTGAAACAGGATTTCAAAAAAAAAAAAAAATCAATATGTAAAAAGTCACTGGATAGTCACATATGCTTTAATTTAATATTTCATTTCTAGTAAAAGCTGAATGTAGTGCAAAAGGGCAGCAAAAGAGAATTTTTTGGGTAAAGCAACTGCTTTGCACCTTAACTGTAACAGTAGTCACATGACTCTGCATTTGCTAAAACTCATAGTTGTGCACCAGAAAAATATATTTTATTATAATATTTAATTTTTGGAATAATTTTTTAAAGTATAAAGGTTAGTGGAAATATAAATAAAATGACACACAGAGATATACATATGTGTGTGTATATATACATATATGTATATATATATAAGCATGTAGTCACGCATCACTTCATGACATTTCAGCCAATGACAGACCACATATACAGTGGTCCCATGAGATTAAATTGCCTACTTAGTTTTATAGGACCACTCCACAACAAAATCGCCTAACAACTCATTTCTCAGACCATGTCCCATCATTAAGCAAGGTTTTTGAATTACACAAGTAGCCATTGTCTTTTCCTTCCTGAAAAATTCTGCCCTAAAATCGTTAGGGGGCGCAGATCAAAGTACACAAGAGAAACAAATGATGCTGGACCAGAGCTGGAAACTGAGCTGGATCAAAGTCCTTTGTGTACTGCCACCAGGAATTTCAAGCCTGAGAAGCATGATGAGAACATTCATGGAACAGTTCAGCCTGGCATGAAGACGGAAGCCTAGTGATGATAGTTATAAATTGAACACACTGAGAAGCACATCTTTAGTGGGAGAGAAATAGCAACCTGGCATACAGAGTGAGCACTCAAGTGGGGTGAAGTACCAGCTAGACAGATAAGGGTAAACAGGTTGTCTGAATGAGGGAGGGAGTAGCCACACTGACAGGAAGTTAGTTTTATACCGAGGGACTGATTGTATAAGTAAATATATTAAGGATAACAGGAGCATGCGTCTCACTGTTGGGAAGAGAAACTATAATACAGGAAAGAAAAGAATCCAAATTAACCCAATCAGATTAACTCATTGGAATTAAAGGTATTAGTGCAAATTGTCTTTCATATATAATAATATCTATAGATATTTGTAAGTAATACAGTTATAAAATGTAAATCTGCATACATGTAAGTGGACAGGTGAATAGATAATACAGTTTGATGGATAGATGAATGGGTAAAAACTGCTATCTCTGTTCAACAGTATAGTTTATGATCAGCAACAATGAATAGCAATGAATACACTTTTATCTTGGACCTTAGTTTCTTTGGAATAACTTCCTTTACTAAAAGGAACCAAGAATTCTTCAAAAAATTGCTGATTCCAAGGCTGAAACAAGGAAAGTACAAAACAAGCCTGAACTATCTCATTATATCACAAAGTGAGCAAATACTCAAGGGGTCATAGGGACATGCCAAAGCACACAGAAATCTATTTGAAGGGGCTCCTAATGGCCAAATCTGGGCCAATTCAAGCCCCAAAATAAGTGGTAATGAAGGGTTAGAACCTAATAGCACAGAAAACCATATTTAATGAGGACACAGTAGTTATATAAAATATCACCCCACAAAATAACTATTAATTATTAAAAAAAAGTACTTTACAACAAAGTCTAGCAGAGAGAAACTTAATAAGTAATAGGGCAATATGCAATCATGTACCATTTGATAAGATGCAATGAAGAAAACACAGCATCACTTCTGTGATAGTCTTGCCAAAGATGTAATATGTGAATCTAATCATAAAGAAACAAACCCAAATTAGGAGTTACTATAAAAGCCACAAAATAACTGGCCTTCAGAGCTGTGAAAGTCAAGGAAATTCTAAAAACCTGGCCCAGAGTAAAATATGACATCCAAGTACTACATAATGCCCAGCTGAATCCTTCTGATATAAGGATATTACTAGGACAATAGATGCAACTCAAATGAATGGTACACGATTCCTAAGGATTAGGTAATACTAGCTCATCAAGGTTAATTTCTTGGTTTTAATAGTTGCATTATGGTCTGTAGAAGAATACAGACAATATGTACAAAGATATAGGGTGGGTGATGGGTATCAGGTAGGCAACATAGTTCCAAATGATTCAGGAGAAAAAAAATGTACTGTATTTGCAATTTTTCTGTAAGTTTGAAACTGTTTCGAATCTTTTAAGTTATATTTTAAAATGGAAGAAGTGATTATGGAAGTAAACAAACAGCACACAAAAAATTGTGTATATCATGCTGAAGAGTTTAAAAGTCATCCTGAAAGCTTTTAGTAGTCACTGAAAGATGCTACCACAACTAAAAGATCGTGTTATATTTTCTTGTTTTGTATTTGTCTTTTAATTCCTCCTAATAAACAGTGGTCCTGGATGTATAAGATTCACAATATTTTTGGTTAAAGACAAATGTAATAATGAGGTTACTTAGCATTTGATGGAAAAGCAAAAGCATGATTAATGAGGACAATAAAATCCAAGAGTGTTAAAATTCATTTATACACATTTAAGAGCCAGGAATGTACAAATCCATTTACACATGTATATAACCCAGGTATAAATCGATTTATACATGTTTGATACAGACAAGTAAAGGAGCCAAATCTTCATAGATGTAGCATAAAATTAGGATAATCTATAAGTTGCTGCACTTACTGATATTACAAGCAGGTAGGCAAAAGAATACAGTATGACCATCATCACAACCTCTAACCTCAAGCAATGTGACACAGCAATGAACTCCTTAGAGAAAATGTCAGCCTTAGCATGCACCAAAAAAAGCAGAAATAGAAATTACACCATATTTTCATATATTATTGAAGTTGTAACCATACTCTAGGATTAAGTATAGAGTATGAAAAAACTTTATATCATATCAGTATGTCCGCTTTACCATATATCTGATCTGAACTTTTAGTCTGTTTTTAAATATTTCTCAGTTATGATTTTCAGTCAAGGCAAAGCCATAGGTAATTACCAATACAATCCCACAACTGGGCTTTAGTCTCTGCTACAACCAACAATTTTTCAGATCTCAGCACACAATACTTTTTTTTTTTTTGAGACAGGGTCTCACTACATATTCCAGGCTGGCCTCAAAATTGCCACAATCCTCCTTCCTCAGCCTCCCAAGTGCTGGGATTATTGGCAGGTACAACCAAGACTGGCTAGCACAGAATACATTAACAGCGTATGAAGTCAACTTGGGATATTAGTCACTCCTAGTAAAAACACTGATACTAAGGAAAAGACCCTTGCTGTAACAGGACTACACTGCTGTTACAAAGCTCACATAAAATCTAATTAGTTCTGTTCTATTGCATAGCTATGACAGTCTCTATCTATACCAATGAGAGAGGCAACCTGATTAGACAATTATCAAGCACTACTGGAAAAAAAAATCAATAGGTTAGCAAGAGCACCTTTGTAAACTAGGAACTGCACATATGTACTCCTAAAAGGCACAGATCAAGTCCTACTGGTGTGTGTGCATGATTGTGAACTCCACACAAATTAAGAACTATTGCAAGATTGGTTTCTAGGTGATGTATACAACAGTGCTAAAAATGCTAAACATGAATAGGAAAAAGGAAAATCAATCAAACCTTTCCTTTTGTTTACACTTTCATGTAAATTGCAACTATATTCAAAAACCAATGTGGTATCCCAACACTCTCTGAAGCTGAGTCAGAAGATCACAAATTCCAACCCAGCCTGGGCAACTTACATGACTTAGCAAGATTCTGTCTCAAATTTTAAAAAGGGCTGGGGATACAGCTCAACATGAAGTCCCTGTACCAGACAATCCCCAGAACCAGACAGTCAGAGAGAAAAAAGGAAGAGAGATTGAGATAAAGAAACAAAAACAGAGAGAAAGAAGAGAGAAAAAATCTGATAGAAGAATTGGAGAAAGGCTTTCGGTCATATAGGCAGCTTACAGGCTCTGGCACCACCTATAGTTTCTTAGGTGGTGCCTTCCTAAGCTTTCATTTCCCAAAGTGGGTCTGCTTGTGTTGGTGGTATAGTGGTGAGCATGGCAGCCTTCCAAAGTGGGTCTGCTTGTTCCTCACAAAAAGAGTTTAAGCTAAAATGTCTTAGGCAAACTATGTAAAAGAATGTTAAAGAGGTTTCTTAGAACCTTTTGAAACTTTTTTATGATAATGTGCTTTGTAATATCCAAAGAAGGATCGA